ACTCTGTTGTCCCCTGTCCCTCACATTTACCATCCCTTCCCCCACTCTGTTGTCCCCTGTCCCTCACATTTACCATCCCTTCCCCCACTCTGTTGTCCCCTGTCCCTCACATTTACCATCCCTTCCCCCACTCTGTTGTCCCCTGTCCCTCACATTTACCATCCCTTCCCCCACTCTGTTGTCCCCTGTCCCTCACATTTACCATCCCTTCCCCCACTCTGTTGTCCCCTGTCCCTCACATTTACCATCCCTTCCCCCACTCTGTTGTCCCCTGTCCCTCACATTTACCATCCCTTCCCCCACTATGTTGTCCCCTGTCCCTCACATTTACCATCCCTTCCCCCACTCTGTTGTCCCCCTACCCCAGTTCCCCACCCTTCATGTCTGAAGGCTCTGTGATTTGACTTGAACTAGAGGTTGTTACAAATGTATTTTCCATCTGTGAAGTAATGACTTTGTGGAGCAGTAAGAGAATGGCGGCCATCTTCCAGCCCGGGGAGAGTGATTGCCCGGTCCTGCCATGTCTGACGTTTTTCTGCACATTTGAAACTTTATCATAGAAATGGATAAACCGGCTGTTTGGTGAAACATATAGCAACAGTAGGAACATCCCTCTCCCCATCCACCAACACCTGTCAACCATAAGTCAGCGCAAATTGCCATTTGTTTCCATGGAAACTGGCAGCCTCACTCCAAGTACGCTGTTTCTGTGGCTTTGATGTTGGACTAAACAACGAAGGGCCGAGGGTCAACATGGAGACAGGGAGCAGAATCACATTGATTCTCCCCGTGACACAAGCTTAAATATTCTGTCGAAGCTGGTTTTGATAAAGTAGGATTTTATGAGTTTTTTGTCCAGATTGATTTTGTATTTGTTCGTCTGAAGTGTTCACCTGAACTAGAACACCGTTCCCAGCCCTCTTCTTTTGTCACAAGCAACACGACCATTTTGTTGGTAACAGCCCCTTGCCTGGCATGAGTTGATTATTCCGCCTCAGGTAAACTGAGGATTTCTCTGGAAAACAAATGGGAGTGTCCTATAATACACAGGTACTGGATAAATGACCTTTTATCCAATAAAGCATAAAGTTCAACAAGGTGCAAGAATATTACTATTCTGTACAATTTTAGCCTCTTGTAACTTTCTCATGCAATCTGTTCATGATGTAATAAATTCAGGTATGAAATAACTGTTTAAACCTTGAAAATAGAATTGAAAAATATTTTCAGAACAAGAGTTAGGTGTTAGGACTGAGGTAAATGTTATAGTTTGTGTCACATACATACCAAGACATAAGTATTGGTGTACCTGGAGATTTATCACACGGAAAAATGTCAATTAACTTGGAATGTGTGATAGACACCCAGCGCTGGGCTAAACGTACAGAAATGAAATTAGAGCATTATTTATGTGTCATATATTGAAATTTTTATCAGTTTTTGAGAGTTTGTGATAAGTTTTTCACTGGAGCAGGTCAAAAGGATTCACAGACGGTTTCCAGTTGTAGGACAGAGGGGGCAGGCAAAGGGGCCTAGGAAGGGTTAGGGGGTCAAAAGGGAAGATTGATGGTTGGAGGGGGTTTATTTCTTTTAAGTCTGGGACAAATGTAGGAAGGCGGTCTATGGTTGATGTAGTTGCAAGGAAGATAGGCTCTGATGGTGTTTTATTTTTTGTTTGTTTTGTGTTTTACGTACTATTTACAGCTATGATCTTTAAGGACGGGCCAGGTTTGTTTGTGTTTTACGTCCCATTAACAGCTATGATCTTAAGGACGGGCCAGGTTTGTTTGTGTACCTGGCGACTACCCCATGTAGGTCTCTAACCCCCGACCCAGTGGTAGAGAGCTAGTGGTAGCAGAGTGTCAGACGCCTAAACCATTTGGCCACTGTGGCCCCTGGACTCTAAGGAGGCTGAGGTAGAAATGTGTCAGATACCTGGGAGGGGTATAAGGTAGAATACGATGATACGATAGGAATGATGATAAATAAGATGAATAAAGTACAAGATAAAACCCTGTGGCTGATTCCTTGTGTGCTGAACTTACGTAGCTACTATAGGTGACAAGTTTGGAGGATGCTAATTGGAGTTTGTACGTAGCTACTAGGTGACAAGTTTAGAGGATGCTAATTGGAGTTTGTACGTAGCTGCTAGGTGACAAGTTTTGAGGATGCTAATTGGAGTTTGTACGTAGCTGCTAGGTGACAAGTTTTGAGGATGCTAATTGGAGTTTGTACGTAGCTGCTAGGTGACAAGTTTTGAGGATGCTAATTGGAGTTTGTACGTAGCTGCTAGGTGACAAGTTTGGAGGATGCTAATTGGAGTTTATACATAACTACTAGGTGACAAGTTTGGAGGATGCTAATTGGAGTTTGTATGTAGCTACTAGGTGACAAGTTTTGAGGATGCTAATTGGAGTTTGTACGTAGCTGCTAGGTGACAAGTTTGTAGGATGCTAATTGGAGTTTGTACGTAGCTGCTAGGTGACAAGTTTGGAGGATGCTAATTGGATTTTGTACGTAGCTACTAGGTGACAAGTTTGGAGGATGCTAATTGGAGTTTCTATGTAGCTACTAGGTGACAAGTTTTGAGGATGCTAATTGGAGTTTGTACGTAGCTGCTAGGTGACAAGTTTGGAGGATGCTAATTGGATTTTGTACGTAGCTACTAGGTGACAAGTTTGGAGGATGCTAATTGGAGTTTGTATGTAGCTACTAGGTGACAAGTTTGGAGGATGCTTATTGGAGTTTTATTTAAACAGCTTCACCCAGATGATATTAATTTACTTTTTGAACTTAACTGATAAAAGAAAGGCTGTGAAACAAGAACAGAAGAGAAAGTACAAATTATATGGTGTCTGGGTTGGAGAAGACAGGATGTATGATACAGAAGTAGGGGAGTATAGATTGGGAGGGACATGGTGTCTGGGTTGGAGAAGACAGGATGTATGATACAGAAGTAGGGGAGTATAGATTGGGAGGGACATGGTGTCTGGGTTGGAGAAGACAGGATGTATGATACAGAAGTAGGGGAGTATAGATTGGGAGGGACATGGTGTCTGGGTTGGAGAAGACAGGATGTATGATACAGAAGTAGGGGAGTATAGATTGGGAGGGACATGGTGTCTGGGTTGGAGAAGACAGGATGTATGATACAGAAGTAGGGGAGTATAGATTGGGAGGGACATGGTGTCTGGGTTGGAGAAGACAGGATGTATGATACAGAAGTAGGGGAGTATAGATTGGGAGGGACATGGTGTCTGGGTTGGAGAAGACAGGATGTATGATACAGAAGTAGGGGAGTATAGATTGGGAGGGACATGGTGTCTGGGTTGGAGAAGACAGGATGTATGATACAGAAGTAGGGGAGTATAGATTGGGAGGGACATGGTGTCTGGGTTGGAGAAGACAGGATGTATGATACAGAAGTAGGGGAGTATAGATTGGGAGGGACATGGTGTCTGGGTTGGAGA